ATTGTTTAACTGAAGGATTGACCCATAAAAGTCAAACACTTATTAACGATCGTTTGATATATATTTCTTACTTTACAAATTGAAATAACAATAACAATTAAAAAAGGCGATTCTCAGAATAAAAGATAAGTCACATTTAGATTTGAACTAAAATATTTCTTACTTTACATACAAATGCATGGCTTGTAAATAGTTTGAAATCTGAAAATAGACATTTCATTGTGTAGGAGCTATAATTCAAATATCTTACAAAGCAAACTTTGCTTTCTTTTGAGTGCTAAATGATGAGAAAATGTATGGTTGAGAAAAAGACATTGAATCGCTTATAACAATAAGGTCATCATCATCATCAAATAGGACAACTGTGAATAATTATGATTTACAAGCTTGCTTTAAACAACCTTATTAATTATGCGAGTTAACGTCCCTGCATTTGGCCTAAAACTTGAAAGTAAAGCTTTTCCAGAAAGAAAAAATCATTCTTTTTTTTTTTTTTCCAAATTCGTTACCATTACTTTAGCTTTTAGGTTCAGCACCATTATTGATGAAATTATTTTAAGAAATATAAGAAATTAATAAAAAATATGTATTATGTAAAGTTTACTTTAAGTTTCATTCTTCACAAAACTCTCAAAGCAAGTTTCTTTAAGAATGGAATGTTTGTATCATAGGTTTTGAATACAGGCCCTTAAGTTTAGTATTTATACATATTCCATATTCACTTTGTGCGTGTATAAAAATTTGAGAAAATTAGACTAAAAAAATATAAATTATAAAATAAATTAGACAATAGTGTTATTTACAAGTCATGAACAACTCATACTCTCATGCTACATTTTGTTCACTTGCTTCCATAAAGTCCATTTCACATGGTTTCGCAAAAAACAAAATAAAAGCTTAAAAGAAGTGAAACTTCCAACAATATTTTAGTACGCTTTTTATTACGTCTTAAAAATTTATTATCAGGCTTCCCAAAATATATAAATACTCCTCCGGTTCTAAATATAAGAATTTTTTTATAGTACAAATTATACTACAAAAAGTCTTATATTTAGGATCAGAAAAGTATATAATTTTAAAAATTTTGACCTAAAACTTTTAAGGGTCATTTTATAAATTTTTCAAAAATAGAAAAGTCAAACACTTAAATTATGGAAATTATTTAATACAATCCAAAGACATTTGGAATATGTGGCAAAGCTTAAACAAGAGGTTATTGCGGGCTCAGGCCAGCATCATTTTTGTTTGTTAATTAAGTAAAATTAGAAGCTTCAACCAGAGAATCAGGGTGATCCGTAATAAGTTTGTATTTTGTGAAATTAATACTTATATGATAAATCAAATAAATAAATAAATCATAAAGAAAGCTGTAAAAATATAAACTTTTATGTTTTCTAAACCCAAACTACAAGTTTTCATATATATAAGTATATATCTTTTTAGTTTTTTCTCGTTCCTCCTCATTTAATATATTCTTTTTTGTATTAATGTCTCACACAAATATATAAAACTCAAATAATATATTATTAATACTATCAAAATCAAATGTGAAATTATTGCAAGTCATTCTCACCAAAAGCCACAAATATTGATTTCTTTTTCGGCTTTAAAATTTTATTTTTACAATCAATAATAAAGATCCACGGTGTACCTGAACCAGTCAAGTTGAAAACCAAAAGGCAAAAAGGCAGAACCTTCATGCAATTCTGCGGCGTTAAGCAAAGCAGAAAGCGTCACTATACCCCACAAATTCCATTATAAAATAAAACACTAATAATAACACCATCATCATCATCTTCAACCGCTTCTAATTCATGGAAGATTCTGATTATATTAAGCAAATCTTGAAGGGCAAAGTACCAGACAATCATAGCACAATTCAGGGGGGAAAACAAGAAAAAGAAAAAGAAAACCACAGGAAAAAAGCAAACCCATCAATCATTTCTTCACTTTCCTCCTCCTTTTCTCGCCTCATAATAAAGACAGCCTCTGTTTTACCATTTTCCCCTGTAACCTGAACATTTCCCACCATGGAATTCAGATCCAGATCATGCAGAGATGAAGGTTGCCACGCAGGAGGGCGGGGATTCCCAGGAAACATGCAAGATCTGAGGAGTTACAGTGCTAATTATAGTAGTCAGAAGGAGGGGAAGATGAAGAAAGGGAAGAAAGCTTCAAAAAGTTGGAGCTTTAGTGACCCAGAAGTGCAGAGGAAGAAGAGAGTTGCTAGCTACAGAGTGTACGACATGGAAGGCAAAATGAAAGGATCTCTGAGAAAAAGCTTCAGGTGGGTCAAGAACTCTTACAACCATGTGATCTATGGATGGTGGTGATTAATGGGTACTTATGAGTTTGTACTGATCTTTCTTTAAATTCTGAATCCTTTTTTAAGTAAAAATTGTCCCTCTGTAATGTATTCTGGAGTTTCATGAACTATCATGTTTATGTATGGAATTACCAAACTTGGTCATTTTCAGCTCATCTTTGAAGTATGGTTCTGTGTTTTGAAATGGAGTTTTTTTTTTTTTAGGCGGGGGCCGATCAAGGAGTGTAAGAATTGCTAGGTTAAGTCTGTTTCTTTGTATTTGTTGCTTGTTTCCTAGTTATCATTCCAAAAAAAAAAAGGAGTTTTTTTTTTTTTAAAATTATTGGGGGGGTTAATTTTCAGTATTAATTATTTTTGAAAGCTAACTTGGTTTTGTGGGGATTAATCTGTTTCAGCCTCTGATCCTGGTATATATGCTTTTCAATATCAACCTGTTTCACTAAGATGTCAAAATACATTTTGATCGTGTGAGGCAGAATTTCGTTAATGTTTTTATTTGGCTTCCTTAATCCTTACTCAGAAAATTTAAAAAGGGAAATTGGCTATTAAAAAAGAAACCTCTGCCACTTTTTTCTGCGCATATTGTGAAGAGTATTCCTGAACATTTTTTTTTAAAAAAAAATTCTTCTTCATCTGTCTCTCGTATGATAGTTGTTGAATTATTTAGATTACGCATGAATAATTTATAGTTTTAAGTTCTAACACCTCCACTGTGACAGGCCTAAAAGCATGCTTTAACAGTTTGAACTCTTTAATATTACACCAGAAAATGATTTTCCTGGCATCAATGAGTTGGTGCGCGTAAAATAGTATTGATCTGATACTTAATATAGAACCTAATTATTAAGTTGATTTTGGTTTTAAATATAAAACATATTTCTTATATTTATCGATTTTTTCCAAATTATACCTATCGATAGTCCCTCAACTATAATTAAGTAGAAGAGGGAGAGAAAACATTAAGGAAGATGGTTATAGTGTTTTAGAAAAAAACATGTTATATTTCTCGTAATTAACTAACTTACCTAACTTTTTTAATCTAATCAAATTAGTTAAATAGGTCTTATATTATGTACCGGATGAGTACTTTAAAATGTTTCCAAACAAATGAAGCCACGATTATAATTTCCCCCTTTCGTTTGTACGACTAATGATAACACTAGCGCAACTCACTGAACAAGGAACCCCATTTCGTGATAATAATTATATAGAATCATCAAATTAGAAGTAAACGATTTATAAACAGAATAGTTATCATTGAATCAAGGGTAAAGGTGCAAATTTATTCTAATCTTATTTTTTAAGTGTATCCAACACCCAATCTTTTTAGTGACGCAATTTTGCTATTTTTTGGGTGCGTTTTTACCGATAATTTTTTTTTTAAAATACACTTTCACCTCTGATTTTTGGATGCAACTTTAGCTCTAGAGGATAAAGTTACACACACAAAAAAATCATGAGTGAAATTACACCACTAAAAAAAATTAAGGTGTTAGGTGTGGCTAGAAAACAAGACCAAGGCATACATTTGCATCTTTTCCCAGAATCAAAGATCGAAGATAAATATCCAAACAGGACCAGCAAAAAATCTGGTCCTTCATAAATTTGTTTTTTTTTTTTTTCCCCTTTTATGACTTATTGAAGAAACGAATTTAATTATGGGGATTGATTTGTCACTTCAAAATTTAATTTTGTAGATAAGGTTATCATTTAATCTATGATTGAAGATAAATAGCGCCCCCCGGGCCGGGGGGCCGCACTGAGAATCCTTGTTAACACTTACCCTCAATCTTGGCTTTAAACTTTTCCATTCTTTTGTTTCATACGCGACACTCGAATGGAACGTAGTGCAGTTAGAATAGCTTACGAATACGATTTACGCAACCAATTAAAGTTACGAATTATATATAAACTCGATAAATTTGAAATTTATTAAGGATGATAACACTAATCGCATCAGTCTCATGCTTCCCTTTACGTTGAAATCTCTCATAAGACCTCGCGGTAAAAGCAGAGCTTATTATTGGTGTTAGAACTTCAATATGCGAAAAGCATTTATGGATACAAATTATGACAAAGCTATGAAGAGACGAAATACTGCTTCAATCAAAATTTCAAGTAGACAACACAATTCAAAATAAAGCAAAATCATATGCCTTAGGAGCCCTAGCTTCACGTTTAAATGCCTACAGCCTACCCATTTTCAGGAGCTTCTGGTCTCAACTCTTGAAACATTTTGTAAAAGCAACACCAATCAAACCTGGAATCTGGCAAAAATAAAAAATAATTTACAAAAACAAACAAACAAACCAACCTCTTGGTGTAAGTAACCCATGCTATTCTTTCAGGGGAAAAATCCAAATGACCAACAGAGTGACGGACACTGGTACTTGAAACTGACCCTGATAGAGTAGAGAATACCCAAAGGCACAAAAAGCAATTCTCTCCACCAAAGACCTCAACAGAATAACATAGGGACAAGGGTACACCAAACAAAGGAGGTCGTAGTTGTCAAGCCCCACCAAATCAATGTGAACTTGTAAAAGATTAATCAATGTAGAGTTCAAATAAATAGCAGTGTGTGAGACAATCAGCATTAAACAGGAAAAATAACGCCATAAGTTGATCAAATATTTTGACAAAATATACTTGAAGATCAAAAGCTCCGACTTAGTTGTTATACAAACAAGACATCTTCAACCCATAATCATGTTCACATCTTGCTCAGCGATCACATAATCTCTCGCATTCCCCTACTTAGAAGTCCTCATAGTATAATAGTTTAAATTCAAATATTTCACAGATATCAAAAAGCATGGTTAAAAAGTGAAGAAAATTTATAGTAAAAAGGACGCAAAGCCAATATCAGTACATTAACAGTATTAACAAAAGCCTCGTTAACAGGCCAGAGATTGTCAGGAATCCACCTAAGCATGTCTTTACTGTATACTTCTTAAAGTGACTTCCCAACTTGTTGCAGCTTTCTCCCAACAATGCACAGATAACACTCCTTTGAGTAAAGCATGTGAAAGAGTATGAAACTTTTTCAGAATTTACAAAGTACCAGGAGAGGCAACTGCTAATACTGCACCCTATCATCATTAAAATGCAGGCCCTCGATGCCTCTGAGTGTTGACTCAAAATTCTTTGCATTTGACACGTTTCTTCCAGATGAAGTTCTGTTTTGTTCTGATGATAAAATAGGTGAACCTCTTTGAGCGCCAGAGACTTTGCGAAGTGCTCCAGGACTTGCATCCACAGGAAGATGGTGAGAGCGTTCAGTCTCACTGCTAACAATTGCATCACGACTGCCAGAAACAGCACCTCGTCTTTGTGATCCACTTGACCGGAAGAGATTGGAGCTTGACAACTGCATAATCAATACAAAAGAAGTCAAAAGTTTGACAGGATGCTAACTGCAATAGACTATTAACAGGCGGACAGGTGCAACATTAACTGACAGGAAATCACAGCATGATCATAAAGCATCTAACGAGATCAGATCTCCTTACTTAAATGCCACAAGCAAAACAAAAAGGCTCAAGTTGTTTTCATTCACAGGAAATATGAACTATAACCACACTAGAACATTTCCCAAACTCATCAGAAAAATGATAAAGACCCAACACTTAGCATCACAAGTTTCTTCTACGGTAAGCATATTCTATTCCTAAATTCCAATAAATGTTATTTTCCAAACTTCTTTTTCCAGTATTCCTCCTCATTATCTTTCACTTAAGATGAATTGCCAATAGGATGAAGAAGGTTTTTCAGACTTCCCTGGAGCCAGAAGGCAACAGAATAAAAGAGATTACCTAGTAATGAAGAATAAGAAAAGAACATTCAGAGTGCCGTTGTTAATGGTGGTATTCCTAATTATTTGTGAATGGGGAATTATCCCATCAATGGAAGCTAAAAATAAAATGGAAAAGTCTAGGAAATGTTTTAATTGCTCTATTTTATGTTAATTGCTTTCATTCTTATTTTAATTGAAGTCCCAATAATCTCTATCCAACTTCACTTGGCCCTTTGGCAGTCCAAAATAACAAGTTTATAATCATTTAAAATGCATTAGCATGTTTTTGAAAGGACTCAAGGACTTATAAGGAATATTACGATGTAAAAAGAGATGCAAATTGGCATCTCCTTCCCGCCACCGACACCCTAGTCAATAGGACTAGAGCTGACTCCCCTTCCTACCCAATGTAGAGTCACCAGAAGAAAATATGCAGAAGGGTAGCTTGTTGGGGATATCTCATTTTCTCATTCAAAATACCCAAGTGCGTGCGTGCGTGATGCTTAGTTTTTCAAGCCTTTGTAGGTTAAAGCTAATGATTTTTTTCCAAGCATTCGTGGGTTAAAGCTAATGGTTTTCATTTACAGGAGGGTTTCCCTTCTGGATTTGCCAAGGGATTGGAGAGCTCTTTTGAGCTAATGAGTCCACAATTTTTTTCCTTCAGAGGATTCTCAATAAGTCCTTTTTTCTATCCAAAGTGAAAAGAACTTAACCTTAATATATCAACTTTGTTCAAGAAATACACCCAAAGGAAGAAAATCCTCAGTAGTCAAAACATACACACCGTAACATCTTTAGAACCAGCCAAGTCATTTGCAACTGGGGCCTTTTGTCTCGGTAAGATGCCATCATTTGCAATGGGTCCAGAGTTTCTCCTCCGAGTAGGATCTGATGAAGTCCAACCAGTGTGCCTACCATCTTCCCCACCTACAATCAAGTCAATATTCTGTAAAACACACAATCACAAAGGAAAATATTTGACACCAATCATAGACTAACATAACCTTGTAAAACCATTTCGCAGATATTATAATTTTTTATTTACACTCACCAACATGGAAGAAGTTAAACAAGTAAAAGAAAAGGTGGCCTTACTTTCTTCAAGGCATTTTGATCAAAGACATCTCAATCAATATACTTATAGATCAGTGAATTAAGAAAATAAATGACAATATAAACATATAATTACATACCTAGATGTCTATCAGCATTTGCAACCATTGGTGGCATGCCAGAGCTTGGTCCAACACCAGGACCCTGCAAACAACATTTCTACTAAGATCACCTAGGCCAACAAGTGAAGAGAACAACCAAATTGAACATATCACTTACAACACCACGGGCAGGAGGAGTGGCAATTTGAGATTGTTGATATTTCAAAATGGTCCAGTCGAAGACATAATCAAACTGAAATCCTGGTGAAACCAGAAAACAAGCATGACAGCAAGAAATAATTAACACAACCATCTAAAATGAAATATGATCACCAAAAACAACTTAGCATCCACAAACCTTCACGAATAAAAAGGTCACGGAAGAGCCTCTTTAGATAAGCATAATCAGGTTTATCATCAAACCGAAGTGACCGGCAATAATGGAAGTATGATGCAAATTCTGATGGATAACCACGGCAGAGAGCCTACAGAAAATGTAATCCGTATTCAGTTATGATATAGATATTGATTACAAAATTACAACTGATATGCACGGACACAGTCTCAGCACATAATTTTACCTCAATAGAAGTAGAAACTTTCTTCTCACTAATCTTTTCATACTTCTGCTTCTTAGTGCCAGCTTTCAGTCCCTGCCAAGGAAGGCTACAGAAATACCATGTCAAAATTTAATGCTTAGAAATAAGAAGAGGTATAAGAGGTAACAAAGGCACAAGAGGTTTACCTTCCTCTCAAAAAATACGTAAGAACGTATCCAAGTGACTCCAAGTCGTCTCTACGGCTTTGCTCTATAAAAGAATAAAAGGACATTATCCAAAATCAGAATACCAGCTGACCACCAATGAATACAAAAGAAAGGGAATATTTTTCAGGATAAATACCAATTCCAAGATGAGTATTCATGCTAGCATATCTTGCAGTTCCTGTTAAATTCTTATTCTCTCTGCAAAAATTAGCAGTATGTTAAATTATCATACACAGAAGAAAAGTACATTAATAGTTAAAGCCACCAAAAAAAAAATGTCATATCAATATGAATAGTTCAAAAAACTGACTTCATGATATTCAAAGTAAAAATATATATAAAAACATACATTATATACATACACATGTGCACATCTCAGAGGGTAAATTACCTAAACATAGTTTCATAAAATAGCAGATCCAGTATATCTAATTTGTTTAAAGAATAATTACCTGTAAGGGATATGCTGATGAGTCGAAGTGTCTCTATATTTCTTAGCAAGGCCAAAGTCAATGACGTACACCTACAAGAGGGGTAACTTAGAAAATTATACATCCATATAAAGCATGACAGATGATACATTGTTGTAAAGAATTATAAATAAGCTAGCACTAAAGTAATACTTGATTAGCACGCCTCCCTAAACCCATGAGGAAGTTGTCTGGCTTGATGTCACGATGTAAAAATGATTTAGAATGGACAAATTCAACTCGATTTATCTGAAAATAGTCCAAGGTAGCACATTTAGTAACAATAAAAACTGAGAATGCGAAACAAAAGAAAAAAATGTTCAATAGTGCAGGAACCCTACCATCTGATCAGCAAGCATCAGAACAGTTTTGAGGGACAACTTCCTACTGCAAAAGTTGAATAAATCTTCAAGACTAGGCCCCAGTAAATCCATTACAAGCACATTGTAGTCTCCTTCAACTCCAAACCATTTTAAGTTTGGGATTCCAGCTGTCAAAAACAGGTAGTCATAGAAACTGTTTAACCTACGAGAATAATATGGAGCCTGTGAAAAAAAAAAAAAAATCCAGTACGCAGAAATATTTTGGCAAGAGTCATTACTTCCTCCCTGTAGTATTTTATACAACTTCGATTCATACAACAGTTGGGGGTGCTTGGTCTTGACATTTTCCTGAGTCAAAAGACAAAGGGGAGGAAAACATTTCATTAAACACAACCCTTATCCCTAACATAGTTCGCCAAGATGTCAACCACCATCAGTGACCTTCATGACAAACTTAATGAAACCCTAAAAGTTGCATGAGGGTTAAAACTGATAATAAAACAAAGCATAGCATGAAGAAAAGGATCCAAGAAATTGAGTTCAGGCCTTAGGCAATGTCTATCAGGTAGTAACCAATGCTCCAATCACCATATAACAGTATCCAGGCCAAACAAATAAATATCAACAAAATATTCAGATAATTATAACCTTAAAATTCATATCGATCCCCCAGAATCTAGAACAATAAGATATACATAAGATATGAAGGAGACATCTGAAGACAATCGTCCGCCTTGTGCAACCGCAGCACTAAAGCATAAAAATTTTAAACCTATCAGCGAACTCCTTTCTACCAGAACTGATTGAGGAAACTACGATGAGACAACCCCTAACAGATTCTTAAGGGGGGAAACAAAAAATTATCAGGATAGTACAATAATCTCTTTTTTTCCTGTACTCATTCTTCATCAAGTTCTCCAGAAGTTAAGCAAATTAGTCGGGGCATTCATAATGCATTAAAAAAAATCAAACTTGTCACTTGAATTTTAAGCACGCATCTAATCCTACAATGTGACACTACGATGATCTACATTTCCCAGCAGCATATTCGAGATTTTAAACTAAAAAACTAGATTAATATATCAGTACTGAGTTGAAACAAATCTGCAACATGTTTTACGCATTGGCAGTGATTTATAAACTACTATCCCGAACTCGCCCATGACAGAGAATTTTTTTTCCAAAAGAAAAAAAATCAAATCAGAGTACTCACAAGCTTAATTGCAACGTCTTCATTTGTCTGAATATTAGTACCTGACAACCCGAGAAAATGGAAATCAACAAAAATTCAGAATTCCTCAGCACAAAAAGGAACAAATTAAAAGCGAATGGATTCAGAACTTACCGAGGTAGATCTCTCCAAACGATCCGCTGCCAATCTTCCGGCCGAGACGGAACTTGTTTCCAACTCGAGGTTCCATCCAGCAAAATTTGATCAACGATCAGACCTAAAACCTAGAATTAAATAAGCAAAAAGTGGTTGGACTTCATAACCCCTAGAAAAGGAATTTTCTTCAGAAATGAAAATTGGAAACGAAACACCAACCACTTCAAGTAGGCATTGCAGCAGGAAAATCGAAGGCTGATGAAGAAAGAGGAAAGGGGAGAAACGGTGGAACAGAGGATTAAAAGAGACCAAAAGCAATTGAGCTCATAGAAGTTCGCAGGGCGGAAGATGAAGAGCGGGAGAAGAAAGCCCCAGAGAGCGTCATGGCGCTTTGATCCAATGGACGCGGATTTTCTCGCAGCCGGCTGAGGCTGTATTTTTCATTTTCTTCGCCATGCCTTCCCACTTTTCCATCAGAGACTCCTAGCGTCTAAAACGACGACGTTGTTTTCATGAGTCTGGGTGCTAAGTGCTGATTATTATGGTTGGGGAAAATTAACGAGAAAATTGCATTAATGTTTGACGTGAGAGAAATAAATAAAAAAAATTACTTGAAATTATCAAATTGATTTAAAGTTTCAACATCATTGTAAGAGATTTTATTTATTCAATTATTAAATTGTCCTTCTTTTTTTTAAATTATCAATTTTTTTTAGTAGCATGCGTTAGCAATTGAAAAGACAATCATTTACTTAGCCATATATATTGATATTTCAAAAGGTAATATTAACAACTTAAAGTACAATAATTAATAATTATTATGGTAGCCATTAATAATAGATTTTCTTAGAGCATCAAAAGAATTTCAAATTAAATATGCTAATGTGATATACTGAGAAAATCTGTTGTTGATTGTTATACTTTAAGTTATTAATAATAGCCATTTCAGTTATCAATGCATAGTTGAAACAAAAAAGATGATGCTAATTTAGTAATTAAACAAGTGTAATATCTTACAATAATAATGAGATCCTTTAGAACTTCAGATTAATTTAATAATTTCAATGGATTTTTGTATCTATTTTCTTGGATGAGACCTAATGTGAATTTTTCAAAGTTAATCTTTTCTTCTCACTTGTAATTTAATATCTAAATTTAACTTAGGTGTTATAATTTTAAATTCTTTTAACTTTGATTTGATGCAATTCATCCTCTATTGTTTAACTATCTAAAAATTTACTTACTACATTTTAAAAAAATAAAATTATATATTTTATGAAATTCATGGATTAAAATTTTAAATGGTTATAACTGTTGAAAATATGTTGTAATAAGTTAAAATTTAGGTGCTGCTATACAACTGAGTCAAAATTATAGGAATTAGATTGTGGAGTCAACATGTAAGAATTAAGATATAATTTAGTCAAAATTAAAGGCTAAGTTATAATTAAATCAAATCAAAATTATAGGAAGTACAAAATTAATTCTCCTTTTTTGGTTGGTGCTGCTGCTGTTTACGGAACAATTGTTCATGAGCATCTTCCTCACAATATTATCCTGAGCCAGTAAACTACTTTAATTTTTTGTCCAAAACATGTTTTCATAATATTTTAAAGAGCTAAGGTACATTCACGGTTGCAAACACTAATTTTTTCCAGCCACATGGAACCATTTTTTTTGAAGTAAAGGCAAAAAAAAAATTATAATAAGAATGTTTTTGATAACTGATAAAGATGCAATGGAGTGTATATTTATGTTCTTTTTAGCTGCATCCCATACCACACACCATTCGAGTCCCACCCCCTGAAGCTGCTCAACAGCAGGTCATAAAGTAAGGGGGCAGAAACCAGAACCTATCAGAAATTGTATAAAAATATTTTTATGAAAAAAAATGAAACCATAAAAAAGGAAAATCTTAATTAAAAGCAATATACTTCCTCTAGTCCTTAATATAAGGCCTTATTTGACTTTTATTTTAATATTAAATATAAGACCCCAATCCACTTTGTCTCTCATATTTATACATTTTTTTCTAAGGTAATCTTTCTAACAATGATAATTCTAACTAATACACTTAATTAGCAAGGATATTTTAGGAAAAATAATATCTATCTATTACAAATAACTAACTTAACTTATTTCTTTAATTTCTTCAAATTAGTCAACTAGCTCTTATAATTAGGATCGGAGGTAATACATAATAACAAGGACAGAAGAAAATGTTTATAATATTTTTTTGAGCAAATAATATATTAAATTAAATCGATCTTAAAACTGAAGTTATCGAGTTCATATAGTTGGTACGAGTTTCAGTTTAGATACTTATTTGTGGAGAGCAAAAAGCTGCAGATAGCTTTTTGACCCTACAAGAAAAGACCATTTTGAAGACCTTAACAGTAAATTTTTCTCTCTTTTAAGTAATATGGATTTGAATCAGTTTTTGTCTATCATTTAACCATATCTCCCTTTAATGTTGCTGGTTGATTGGCTTCCTTGAGTCTTTCAAAATAGGGTTCTTTTGTTATTTTATTGGAAACCTTCTGTTCACCTCCTGTCTTTGATCGTGAATGTAGGCAAAAGGATCAACCACATTGTATCGTCTGAGTTAAACTTACCAACTACTTTAAAGGAATTGATGAAGTAGCACCAATGAATATGATTACTAAAAATTTGGAAGAGACTGCAGAGCTGGATTGAATAAGTCGGAAACAGAGGCTTGGCACGAACGTCTATGGACAAAGGTACCAACCAAGTTCTTACCTTCGTCTAACCCTTTTTCTGACTAAAACCCAAAAGCTTTCTTCATAAGTTGTCGGGGCAGGCAGCAGCATAACCATGTAGCGCCAAGGTACTTGGGATGAAATTCGGGTGCTGATCCTGTGGGTCAATTTTCATTTGGTTGGGAGGGACAGACGTTTGTACATAGATGTCATTGTTAGAAAGTTAGTTGGCGTTGTGAACAATATACGCTTAAGGATAGACATTTGTTGATAGATATCATTATTTACTTCTTTGATCCTATTTATAAGGCACTTCCAGCATGTTTCACACAAATCAAGGAAAGCCTTAAATTTCATTAACTCTCATTTAAAATTTAATGACTTTCAAACTTTTATCCCTATTTAATATACATTATACTTCATATAAACAAAGTTAACACAATAATAAATAAGGAGTAAAATTATACATCAATACATAAAATTTCTCTCATTACCTTATAAATAGAATAAAAAATACATTCTCTTTCTATCCTATAAATAGGACCATAGGAGTAGTTTGTGGTTGTGAACCACCAGTTTCTCAATTACAAAATTAAATCATTTAAGATGATCTAATTTGAAATGTGAGAATGCAATTTTAAATAGCACTCCTTTGTTTCTTATTATAAGCAACATTAAACTCCATTATGTAGATCAAAAGTTAGTTAAAGATAATAAATAGGTAAAAGCTAGAAGTTCTTTATCTAAAATATCCTTATTTATGAGAGAGAGAGTATAAGAAAATTATTATAATAAGAAAAATTATGAAACAAGAGAATATGTGATGAAAAGAGATGATAGTTTGGGAAATGACATAACAAATATATTAAATATTAAAATAAGTAATTAATTGGGGTAAGATAGAAAATTTGCTACAAAAATTTAAGACAACTTACAAATAGTATTAAATATTGATGCAACTCTTGTAGTTGATATAGTTCAAAATTTACAAGGGGGATGTAATTTCTCACGTCTATAATCCTAAACAAAATAATCACACTTGTTCCTTTATCTGTATGACGCATAACAGAACGCTTTTCTAAGTCAAATCCCTAGCATCATAACCCACCATTTGATCAAAGAATCATATGCATCTGTACTCAAAAAGAAAGAAGAAAAAGAAATCAAACCAAAATTGTTAAATTATCTGTATTTTCTTTCTGGAGAAGGAGAAGACATGAAAGGCAAGGTTGATTGCTTCTTCTGCAACTTCTGCTTCAAGTTTCTCATCTTAGCTTCAACTCTTGCACTGAATCCGATATTGGTTTTCTGTCTTGCTTTAGACCTTTCCCTCTTCCACATGCGTTGGTCCTCTACGTCCTTCTTGTAGTGCTTGATCTCTCTGATGATATGATGATCCAGGGGATTTTTCCATCTTTGGAAGCATATGTGGGCGTAATAAGGGAAATTACAAGTAACTGTTACTAGACAAGTCACCAACCAATACACTGGTGCAGGAGAGAGAACTTCAAGCAGGATTTGGTAGGCGGTTTTTGAGTAAGTTGGCGAAAGCATGCCATATAGCACCAGGAATATGTACCAAAAGGCTATACTACCTATGATAAATATGTATTGCATCCATGTTACATGGCAAATGATGAAAGCAATCTGGCAGTTGACAGCCCAAATGACGCAAGTGAACATCGTGGTACCGACAACGGCCATGTCAGAGGTCCGGCCATCACCTCGGAAGGCTTGGTCATAAAAAATACAGATGTTGAATAAAAAGACAACGAGGGAGCAAAAAAGACCATTGAGCATCCATCCCGATATTCTATACCAGTCAAAGAACAAATTTCTCGGGCCCTGCTGATATAGTGCAGGAAACTGCAAGGAGAAATATGGCATTATAAACATAGGTTGGGAAGTTTGCTTCAATTGTTTCACATGGACGAAACGCTATGAAAAGGACAAACCTGTAAGCAAACTTCTGATGGAACATCTTGTTCAAAAACTCCAAGTGAAATGACAGGTAATGATGTAAGAACAACATTGAACAATATCATGTACCAGTCATCATAAACTGATTGCCCGGAGAAGCTCGTCATGGCCTCAAAATAAAAGATGGTGAGCCCAAAAGCTATGTTTTTGTAGAAGAAATAGCATATCTGCATGCGTAGAACGTCAATATCAATTTATAATAGAGTGACATTGAGGACATATCCAACATGCGAAAATAATATTCAAGATGAACATCATCAGCAATCACCATTTGAGCTATTCTCTTGTAGCACCAGTGTCCATGGATCACCAAAAGTCGTTCCAAAAATCTAAATTGGGCAATAGCGAAGTCACTAGCCATCACTGCCTGAAAAATTTGCAAGTTTGAGCTCCTAGATTTTAGACATGCTTCTGAAGCAGAAAAACCTGAATGTTCACTTTCTTGACTTCTAACGATGAAAATAAATTTGAAAGAGAGTCCATTGATTGGTAGTGGCTAGAGATCATTTATTATCCCTATAATACTCTACAACAAGTTAATGATAAGAGCTTGGGAATGAATCCAACCAAGTTAGTGTATTTACGTTATCTTGTTTGAAGAATAGTATACAAATTACAGAATTTACATTTTGAGAAGTTGATACTTCCTAAACATGTCATATTTAAAACAATCTACAAGCCAAAAGAAAGAAATTTCTAACTTTTTCTTGATAAAGGAAACCTTGATTTTTCCCCCCTACAAGGCACTTCCATTTTCTCATAATTTAAGAAATTGGTCTGGAGATGACATGACAATGCAGAGCTCACTTCTTCATTGGTTTGTTTATCAAATATCACAAACAGAAACGAAATGACTTGACAAGGTTGCAAAACATTTGCTCCCCAGCATCTTGAGAATTGGAGCTACGAAGGTAAATATCCATAACAGGCTCCCCCTTTCTAAACTTCCTGTCTTTTGAAAACATAGTAATGGAAGCTACACAAGTAAAATTCAGTCGTCTTTGAATATAATGTTGCAATAAAACAGCTAGGAATGCGGCCATATTTTTGTCGCACAACCATGAAGTGTTGGAATGTACATCACTAACCTGCATACCTTCAACCCCACTAATACCAACACCAATATCTGCTTCTTGAATCATGCCAACGTCATTTGCACCATCACCTATTCCTAAAGTGGTCTTCCCAGTGCCTTCTTTAACTAACCTTGTTACCTAACCACCAATGTATTCACAAGTTAATAAGAAAGAACCAGTGGCAACATTATTCTATTTTTCTAGAAGCAGTGAACCATTGCACTTGTGGATCCACTTGAGCTTTTTATAATTAGCCTCGCTTAAACTATTTCAGGACAAGCTTTAATGGAGCCAAGTGTATCATTGTGCAAAATAAACCAAAATTCCCCATAATAGCAGTACTGAAAGTGATAAACAACGAATATGTAGAGTACAAAATGTTAAAAGGATACCTACAGAAGTATAAATGAGAAATGGGAAAAAGGTCCTACCAGTGCCTTTTGCTTGGGAGACACACGACAGCAGATGACAGAGGCACAATCAACAGCCAATCCCAAAAATTGATGCTTCATGTCATCTTCTAAAGTATATGCAAGAGCCTTCCCATCAATAATTAATGCAAATGCAGCATGTGGATCTTTCTCCAGCTTTATCATTTGTGAGGCATTGATGATTTGATTCAAAATGCTCTCCTTTATGGCCTGAGGGTGTACAAAGAGTACGTCTAAAATCAGATGAAACCTATGTCCATAAAGTAAATTTCTCAACTCTCTCAATAAGACAATACCTCTTTGTCAAAATTTGAGTCTGCCTCTTGAATAGATATGCAGATCTGCTTCATGCCCTGTCGAAGCAAACTACAAGAAAAACTGCACCACACAATAAAAGAATATCTTGGTTACAAATGCATGGTAGCTCAAACTTAACTATGACGAGATAGAATAACATAGCGTGCTAAATAATTTTTAGTAGACAGACCCGATGTTGATTGCAGTTTCCATCTTATCCCCTGTCAAAACCCAGATCTTGAGACCCGCTTGTGCAAGTTTATCAATACATTGGGGGACCTGATAAGAAAGGAAAAAAAGTTAAAAATGAATGAGGAAGAAGAAACCTACAACAGTAGATATGGATCAATGAAGAATTATAAAGCCAACCCCATTTTGCAGTTTGTCTTCCACAGCAGTAGCCCCAACAAGAATGAGCTCTTTTTCCATTCTTTCAGCTAATTCCTCAAGCACTGCCTCTCTGTCAGGCCCAACAGTCGTTTTGGCTTTTTGAAACTCATAGTTCCAAGCATTGTACTCTTCCTCATCAAGCTTTCTGTAAGCTAGAGCCAATGTTCTCAAACCATTTTCTCCATATTCGTTCAAATGTTTGGTTGTGGCCTCTAAATACGTCTTTCCATTCTTCGCCAGTCGATCAAATATGATACTGCATAACCAAGTAGAGTGAGATGACGAAAGTCAAAGCTTGATTTGTGTCCACATGTGTACATGTTTGCAGGCTTCTTTCCTTGGACATCTCGTTGGTGCACTGATTTTCATATTTTATTGAAAACTAGAGGTAAGTATACTTTACAAAACTTAATGAAATTTAAATTTCTTTCAAAATTCACTCTAATGGAAAATCCAATTGGAGCTCATTCTTGGTCATTAGCCTCAATATATTCTGTTGAAAGCAGTTAGAAACAGGAACCTGACATTACATAAACTAACCTGTCAGCCCCTTTGCACATAAGAAGTAAACTTCCTTCCTCATCACGCACAATCACTGTCATTCGCTTTCTTTTGCTAGTAAAGTCCAATAGATTCAGGATTTTGTACTCCCTGTATCATTCAGCCAAAAGAAGAATAAATGTAAAATCAAAGACAGAAAAATATTTTGATATAAATAATTGCAAGAATTGTAAACATTCCTCAATGAACAATAAAAGACAAAAAAATATAAGCCCAACGAAGTTTACCTTTCAACAGCTTGTTCTGAAGGTGAAAGCTTTTCATGGATGAAAACACTTGCTTGAGTTCTTTTACAAAAATCAAAACCAAATTCTCTTGCGGCTGCTAAGAAAGCCCCTTCATCAGGGGATTCAGCCTCGTAAGTTAAAGCTCCTGTTTCCTCATTCAGCTCAGGAATGGCAGTATGGCACACAGCTAATATCCGAAAAAACAATAAAAGGACATCAGGATTGGGCTCTTTCAACCAGCTGCAGTTCATGAGGCGACCGTCCTCAAATCTGAAACCCTTTATAGTAGCCTTCTGAGCCTCATCGCCCTTGGATGTAACAACAGTCTCCAGGTCAACATTTTCCCACGAAACAGATGCTTTACCCTCATGTGTGGGTGTATTGGATAGACTTTCCTCCTGCTGGTCCTCCTCAAGTTCAAGAGCCATCTGCTGTGCTGTAGCAAGTTCAACTTCACTAGAACTCACACCATATGCAGCACCAGCAATGGAGCACTTTAAAAAATCCATCTGATTGCAAGTTAAAGTTCCAGTCTTATCAGAAAGAATAGTGTCCACTTGACCCAATTCTTCATTCAAATTTGATGTTCGGGCACAAGCAGGAGTCCCAGTTTCTTCGTGATACATATGCAAGTCTTGTTCAACCAAGTTTGCTTGTAAAACTTTCACAACCTCAATTGAAACATAAAGTGATATGGGTATCAAATATCCATAAAGAATGAGTGCAGTAACCAGATGACTCAACCCAGCCAATAGAGCATTATTGGGATCATACAGGACTTCTGACTGCATGGGCATTAAATACCACCAATTTATTGTTTGGAATCTAGTGATTACAGCGAATATTACTGAACTAACCAAGGATATCAAAATAAGAACAGTGAATAGGAGGTATATGATGTAATCCATCTTTCTCTCTATTCTACTCCTTTTTGAAGGAGATTTTGTAGAATTCTGCATCACTTTGCTTTCATGACCAGTGAAAATGACCACGCCATATATAAAATCAGTGTTCCTGAGCTTTGAATCTCGGAGGAGAATTTGACTGGGCTCAATCGGATGAACCTCACGTTCATACTCAAAATTTCCTACAAATGTGTAGAGACTAGGATTTGGGTCTTCACAACGAATTATTCCCGTGAAATCTTTAAAAGATTCATCATTATATAGAAGCATGGTAACCTCCAAAGATCTTTTCACCTTTAGGTTTGTCTCACCATCCAAATTCATAGTTTCCACATAGCATATCCCATCCTCATAACTGGATGACAAGAAAAGCAAATCAGCAGGAAAAAATTGGTCCTTGTCTACTTTTACTACATCCCCAACCACAATGTCCTGCCATTGTTTGAGAGTGAAAACACCATTGCCCTTGTGGACACTAGCATTCCGGTGATTAACTTTAACATCCTGACGAAACCTGCGCCAATCTTCCAATGCTTCTTTTGCCATGCTAAGGCCAACAACAAATGCTAGAGGAGCAATCATGCTGACTGGAGAAAATGGTGAGATTGGAGAGGCTGAGAGGCATGCGGCCACAAGGAAGTATATATTAGCAACCCGTCGAAATTGCTCATAGAGTGCTTTAGGTAAAAATGTTACAACATTGTATTTTGTAGTTGATATATCATTCCGGCAGTAAATCTGAGGCTTCTTCTCAGAGAGATGAGGGTGGTTGCAATGTACAACTCTTGAAAAACCAGGACCTTGAAGGTTTTGAGCATTCTCATGTGCAGTGTGAGTTCGTCTTAGACAAGCAAATGTGTAAAGATGGCTCCTTTTAATCTTTGCTCTTAATTTACGTAGTCCCATTTAGCCAGATTTCAGCTCAATGCGGTAATCGTTTACACATGCCAACTAAGAACAACCAAGTGTAGCCTTTAGGAACGAATTATCCCCAGTTTCTTCTTCTAAAGCCTAATAAGATAGGCATACGAAAATTATTAACCGCAGCACATAAGCATGATCGTTTGATGCATAAAATGTCTGTATAATATGTAAAGTTGAATAACTTGAAATCAAATTATAAATTCACGAGTGAAAAACAGAGAAAGAGAAATGAAATCCGAGGTAAAATCAACTATTCAAATTCGCAATCATAAGTCAGTTAACAACCATGCCCTCCAAATATTAAAAATAAAACTAAATAAAAAATTGGCCAGCTATTGTCTCTTCCCGACTAACTAATGCATTCATGGTTCTTGGCTTTTTCAAAAAAAATGTAGCAGAAGCAAAACGAATCCAGCTTAGGCAGAAAAACAATTATTAATACACTCGTAACCAAAAGCTCCATATTGAAAAAGAAAATTCCTTTTATGGAAACAATCAACAAAGCTTCAAGATCCAGGTCATGAATGTGAAAATATGAAAAAGAAAATGTACCGAACGCCAGTGAGTGGTTCATCTTCGAAATGCAGCAACGTGGGACATAGGACGGAGACATGAAACATCAAAGGAAATTCGAGTTGCAAATGGAAGGAGACAAAGTCCAGAGAGAGAGTCACTAAAGGAACACCAATCGAAGAAAGGGGGAGAGAGACAGAGGACAGTGGCCTCTATCTCTCTCCCCCTTCCCTCCGGCCTCCTCAGAAGTCGGAAACAGTGTCAGGAATTTTCGGTCCCTCCTTTCCCGCTACATGTATTTTCTCAGAAAATTTGTTTCAAAAAATATTGCATTATTTGCAAGATTTAAAAAAAAAAAGGCAAAAAAAAACCACTAAAATAAAAAAATTACAAATAAAGACTTATGACAATATTAGTATAGGTTTTAATAATAATAATATGAGTTTTTATAGCAATTTTTACAAATCAGTCTTTGTGTGTAATTTTTTTTTATTTAGACGGTCCTTTTTCACCATTTTCTCATTTAAAAAAGAAATGTTGCGAAATAAGCAATTTTTCTTACAGAGTTTTTAAGTTATTTTTTGCAACGTGTGTTTGGCCACATGGTTTTAAGACAAATTTTTTCAACTAAAATTTTGTTCAACTGATAGAGGGTAAAGTCATTTTTTATGTATTTTTTTAAATTATATGAGTAATATTTAGTGCTATCAACAAATAAAAAGTTTACATTATTGTTGGATATAAATAATTAAATCGCATTTGCTGGGCTAAAGGTGGTTTGGAAAAAAAACGTCAATGATAAAAATTTGTATTGTTGGCTTTGAGTTTGCTAAAAAAGAAAAATTACCTATTTTAGGGTTGATGATTGAATAATTGATGTAGTGAATTGAATTCATGCATTATTAGATATAAATATTCATAGCAAAACAAATTATTGATAAAAATATTAATAATTCTTTTGACATGTTTTTTTAATTCATATTATTTAATCCCAAAAATTACTTAAGGTGTATTATGTCTTTTTCACTTTTCTTATTGAGTATAATGTTTCAAGTTTTTCTTCGTCACCATGTTTGTTGCATGGATTTTAACTTGTGTTTGTAATATATTTTCAATATTAATGGTGAAGTTTACTTCTTTTTTTTCAGAGAGTAATTTCACATAATATAAATACCAAACTATATTAAAAAATGATAAATTTGTGTTCACATCTATCATTAAAAAATAATACTCCTCTGATATTTAATATAAGATCTATTTCATTAATTTGATTAGATTTAGAAAGTTAGGTAAGTTAGTTAAGTATAAAAAATGTGACATGTTTTTCTTAAGACACTATAATCATCTTTCTTAATATCATATCTCTCTTCTATTTGATTATGATTGAGAGACTATCATACTATCATAAGGGTAATTTAAAAAAAATTGATAAATATGAAAAACAAATCTTATATTTATAATTAAAATTCATGTAATAGTTAGGTTTTATATTAAAAATAAGAGAGTACAAATTTACAGTTTCAACAACAAATTTAACGGTAATTTAATAATTTTAGAAATTTGCCTCCAGAGTGAATTTTCCCTTCCCCCCTTCGCTCCTTCTTCCTCTGCCTTGCCGCTCGTAGAAGCGCGCCAAAAGTTCTTCTCCATACCGTTCATGCCGTGGTTTGCCAAAACACAAATCCAGCAAGAAAAATGAAAATCGAAATACACAACTGTTGAAACAAATATGAAAATAATGGAGATGAAAACGAAAATGTACCAGTGCTAGCAAAAGTGAAAATAATAATCTCTGAAAACAGAGGCAATGGAGATTGCTCATGCAGCTGGAATCACCACCAGAGATGACGAAAATGAGGCGGAGGAGGAAATTGTTGAGGCCCAAGAATCTCGGGAGACGGCGGAAGTTGAAGAGAGGGATGGAGGTGGGGTTGGAACGGAAGGCGACGGCACCGCAGAGCATTAGCTGTAGTTGTGAGGAAGGTTGGCGAGGAGAATCTGGACGTCCGGCGATGAACCTAGATCTGATCGGATGCGAGGAATGTTGGGCGCGATGAAGCTAAGGAGGGAGACGGGGGTGGGGATGACGCGTCGGGACCGAAAAGACAATGAACGCCTGGGGTGAGGATATTTTTGGAAATGTGATGTTTTCTGGCTGTGAGCGTGGTGCTACTCATTTTTTGAACGGTATGATCATTCCCATAGAACATGTAATCTTCATCTATTCTAAAATCCACATCCCGACCTGAAAGGACTAACCAAACGGGCTTACCGTTGGAATGGAAAGACCATTCCCATTCTTTAGCTTATCAACAGTTGAACCAAACGGTCAGTTAACAGTTAATCGTCTACATTATTGACAAAGTTTTAGAATTTGGAATTCCTTGCCGAATCTCTGAAGTAGCATTGCCTTAAAAGTCTAATTCCAAGATACTCAGTGAATATCTTATTTACTCTATGATTGATAAAGTCTTCAATTCTTCTATTTATATAAATGATGATAGAAGATGGAATTATTCACGTGATAGTTATTAGCAGCAGTGAGGTGGTGCGGATACTCTTTTATTCTGTTCAAGAGTCTCTTTTGCTCTGTGTTGATGACTGTATTCCCCCCCCCCCCCGGGAAAGACGTCTGGATTTATTTGACCTACAAAACACGTTAATCTTTAAATAATGATTATCATCGCCATTCGTTAAATTCCACTTCATCTAAACAATTATGCATTTAACCAGATTAAAAAAACCGTAATTGATGGCTTTTTCTTTTTCTTTTGTCTTTTTTAATGACCTTAACTTGGTGAGCTTTAGTCAAAGATACATATTACACGGTTATTGGTTTAGGTGTAAAATCCTCCATTCCTGAAAGTTTCATATCTTCAGTATATGTTCATTTGGCTCTGAAGAGTTAAAAGTCAGTCAACTCTGATCACTGCCTCACACCTTCATCACCATTACAATATCATGGCTGCTACTGCTGCTTCGTCATCTTCCTCCTCTTCCTCTTCACTTCCTCCCAAGAAACATGATGTGTTTCTTAGTTTCAGAGGCGAGGACACTCGCAGAACGTTCACCAGCCATCTCTTCACTGCTTTGTGCAAAAGGGGAATTCGAACCTACATAGATAATGAGCTCAGAAAAGGGGATGACATCTCAGACTCACTCATCCAGGCAATTAAAGATTCAAGTATAGCTGTGGTGATCTTCTCTGAGAACTATGCCTCCTCAAAATGGTGTTTGAATGAACTTATCCAGATCCTTTGGTGTAAAGAGGTCCAAGGACAGCTTGTTATTCCTGTCTTCTATCAAATCGACCCATCTGATGTGCGCAATCAGAGGCGAACTTATATGGAGGCATTCGCAAAACATGAAAGAGACTTCAGGCTTAATCAAGAGAGGGTGAACAAGTGGAGACAAGCTCTCTTTATAACTGCAAATTTGGCTGGCTGGGACTCTCGAACCTGTAGGTCAGTATGGTCTCCTCACGCTCTAAAATCTTTAATCAATTTGTGCTTGGTTAGCAATCAATTAACTATAGTGTTATACTTCTATCCTTTTTTCTTTTCTCGCTCGCCAGAATTTAAATTTTCTTTGTCCATGATTTCATATCTTAAATATTTAGATCTTGACAAATAAAATATTTATACCATGTCAATAATTTTGATGACCATTTACTTCTAAGAAATACCAACAATTGACAGCTTCGTGAGTCGCATTTTCCGACAAAAAAATGTTGAGGCCATTACACGATACTCATATTTTCTCTTCTTTCATTGGGAGTGACTCTGGAAAAATTTCGTTGAAATGTGTTTAAGTTTTAAATTGTGCTACCTATTTCAAATCAATTGTTAGTGAAGACAACAAAAATAACGATATCATTGAATTTTTTTTGGCCCTCTTTAATTGATAGTCCATTTATTTTTATCAATATCTTTTTCTGTCTCTTTTTTTCCCCTCTTACAATAATGCTTTCTTTTATCGGAGAAGTTAATGAATGTGCCTACTTACTTGCCAGACAAAAGCTCATATCGCTTCTGATGATTGCAATCACTCTATTAGCCACCTAAATTTTGTATGGCTTTCCTTGAAAGGGAGAGGGTATTATCATTAGACATGTTTAATCTGTTGTTTTCTTGATGCAGCTTCTCTTTTACCTTAAAAAATAACTTTCTTGTTTGTCTTGTTTATCTTTTTTCATATTTTAGGGACGAATCAGAACTCATTCAAAACATTGTCAACCACGTTCAGCAAAAGATTAACCTCAGTTATCCAAGTTCATTGATGGGTCTTGTTGGAATTGATGAAAATTGTAACGAGATTGAAAGGTTACTGGAAGAAGTCCCAATAATTGGACTTTGGGGTATGGGTGGTATAGGCAAGACCACCATGGCTAAGGCTTTATTTACCAAACTCTCCTTCAAATTTGAGAGTTCTTGCTTTTTGGAAAATGTAAGAGAAGAGGTAGAAAAGCAAGGATTGACATACGTACGCAACAACCTTCTGTCTGAGCTACTAAAGGAAGAAAGTTTCCCTCATAGGCCACCTAATATTGCAAGTAACGC